CCAAGCCCGCTTCTCCGGCTGCCACTGGGTCGGCCCAGCCTTGCTGCTCCTCCCACCATGGTGGGCCAGCTTCTCCCCACCCTCTGGCCCAGTCCTCCCCTGCATTGAGCCCCAGCTCACTCCTCCCCTCCCCTTCCCCTGCAGTGATGGGGAGGAGGGGAGCGGGCTCAGATGGGGGTGGGGCATGGGGGTCCATCCACACATGCTCCTCTTCCGGCCCCCGCCCCCCCCAATTATTCCTGATGGGCAAGTGGTTAGTATTTCATTATTTTGTAAGAATAATGCATTCCAATTACCTTTACTAAAAACATTATTGTGCACTGAAAACTATCCAATGGACTATACACAAAGTATGAGAAACTTATTCATGGAAAGAAAGGAAAGACAGTTTATGTGGCACTATAGGGATCATTATCACATTGCAGATTATACCAAATCAAATTTGCTAATGAAGCTGGAGACAATACAGTGTCTTACAAGTAAAGGTATTAGAAACATAGGTAATGAGTGAGATTCAACTGGGGAAAGCATATGTTAATAAAAGAGATAAACAGAGTACAGATATCTACAGCACTGCTGCTACAGCAGTAGACAACAATACATGAGTTTGCAATGTAGCAGCAGTAAAAAGGTGAATGTGAAATGTGTTTCTGGAAGAAGAAAGTCTGTGCTAGTGTGATAATCAGATATCAAGTGAGCAAAAATGTATCCATGGTGCAATTTCAACTTTAGCAATTTTAGCAAGCTATATTTCATTGAAATTTTCATTATGTGGCATAAACAGGGTACACATTAGATACATTAAATCCTGCCTCACAGTAGAGATATAAAAGGTTAAACAGTAACTAAATTTACACTGTTTAATGTTTACCATTTACCTCCTGCCCACTGTTGGGGGAGCGGCTCCAACAGGTGCTGCCTGGGAGGTGGCGCAGATCCAAGCTGCAGCATCACAGGGCTGCTGTAACTAGTGGTTACCTGGGGGAGTGGCACCAGACAAAGTTGTGCGGTGGAACTGGCAGGGCTCAAATAGGAGTGAGCGCAGCAGCAGGACAGACACTGGGTGTCACAAGGGTGGGCTGCACAGAGCCAGGTACCCCTCTCCACCGTAGGACCCACAGGGGCTCCCACCTGCCAGGACAGGCATGCTGCACCATGCCCAGGTGATGCCTTCAGTCCATGGGCACCCAGAACCCTGGCTGGCACCTTTCTCCTACCTGCCCACCCCCTGGGGTCCAGCAACTGCCACTCAGCAGCGACCCGTGGCTAGCGCCGTACTCCTCCTGCTTGGCTGAGGGCTTGTCCTAGTGCTGAGGCTCCTAGCAGAGGGCGCTCAGCTCACAGGTGGATATCTCAGGTACGATCTTGTGTGGCATGTCCATCTGCACCACATCCTTAGGCTGGGACAGCTGCCACAGGTCCTTGCTGAGTAGCAGCTGCTGCAGCCCAGAGTCAGGGGGACAAGAAGGAGGGGTTGCCTGGGGCCCTGGATGCCCACAGGCTGAAGGCACTGCTTAGGTGCAGTGTGACAGCATAGCTGTCCCAACAGGCAGATAGGCAGAAGCCCTTGTGGGTGCTATGGGGTTGAGGGGTATGCTTAGCTCTATGCAGCCTGTCCCTGCAGCACTTACTGGCAGCCCCACCACAGTGCTTACTCCTATTTAAGCCCTGCTGGATTAG